CGTCAAAAACGACTATTATGTCTGTGATCATGGCACTGATGCTCCCCAGCAAAGATTTTGAGAAAAAATTAAGTCTCATCCTATAAGGGAGGGGAGGGCGTCTGGTGCGACGGTTCATATCACCTAAAATCCACTTTTTCGAAGGAGAAGGAAGCTGCAGGGTGCGTATAGAAGCGGAAGCAAAAAGTTCACGTGGCCGGTGACTTTTGTCTGTCGCACCCCCCTTACTGGATGAGACCTGGAATTCTGGATCCTTCTTAGGGTTGTAACAGTGAATAGTGCCAAATAATTTTCCATGCACATATGAAAATAAACTCTGTACAAAGCCCTAGTTATCACTGTACAAAACGAGACCTGCATATCCAAATGGTGGAAGTCATGAACAGCAAAGCGAGAGAGAGAGAGGAGAACGAAGCAGCCACGTCTGATATGTGAGCACCTGACCTCAACCACTGATTGTGGATATTATGAATTTAACGACGGTGACTTCTGCTTCTGGAATGGCACTTCGTCGTAGATCAAATGTGAGATGACATCCGATTGTGAAACGCATGCGATTGGCGTTATGTGATCGTCGACGATGAACACGCAACGCATGTGGTGTGCTTCGAGCAGCACGTCAAGCACTTTACCGACAGGATCGTTTGGACGAACAAATACTGCTGGTGGCCGGTGACCGAGCACTGTCCCGACGGTGGTGTCCGCGAAGAAGGTCTGAAAAGTGAGCTGAATAAAGTGACTTGAGCAACTATGTAGCCAAGGTAAAGCGTCTGTAGGGAAACTCCCAAGTTGAGAGTCGTATTTGTGATTTTGGGACAGGCGGGTCATATCTGACTTCAGGTCCTATGTGTTATGGTCGCCCTGAGTTCGGTTTTTTCTTAGTGTAGCGTCTTACGCCGCAGGTCTAAAGCCACGTCTGTATTTTTCTGAAGTTATTGTGCCTTCTTTTTTCCCATTTCTCACTCGTACAGTGGATGTTACTAGTGTATGGTATTCTAAAGCGGAGGGGGTGACATCGATTCCCCCTAACAAGTGGGTCTTACAGGGCAAGCCACGCGTTTTTGAAACGGCTTCCTTGCATATTGTAGGGACGCACGTAGGAAACACAAAACATGTTTCTTTTCCGCTGAACAATTTCACGGTACCAAAGAGAAGACACGAGGTACTGTTAATGTTCGATACCCCGTGGCGACCTAAGTTTTGCATTCGGGTTGGCGCCACGGGTTGGTGCCAAATCGCGCTAAATATCAAAGTCAGATGTCATAATCATCGTCAGACCATTCTTGAAGCCAACAAGTGGCCGACTTGACCATGCTGCAAATTCAGGCCAGCCCGCAGGGATCGAACCCATCCCAGAGTATCAGTCAATAATTTTTATGATACGAAAATAAAAGATGATGATTCGTTCCAACATGTGTTATATGTAGCTCCATACAATGCGTCCCTCAATATGCAAGGAACCGTTTTCAAAGAGCGTGGCTCGCCCTGAAAGACCCACTTGTAGAGGGACTCGCGTCGAGTGACCTCCCCTCCCTTTCGGAATACCATATACCAGTAAGGCCGCGTTCACAAGGCGCAATATCCTATTCTACTCCTCTTATTACCGCTAGTCGCCTATATCATCAATCTCCGCATCGCGAACTTTAAGCGCAGCCTAACATTCGCTGTACGAATGAGAAGTGGAAAAATCCAGAACGAATGAAACAAACTAAGTCAGACGTGTTTAGTTGTAATTTGTAATACGTATGAGAATCGCATAAAAAATGGGGAACGGAAGCCCCGTTTTCGGCAGACATGTTTACAAACCACAAGAGAAGTAGATTGTTGGTGAAACACTTCTTAATTGGGGATAGGTATACGTAATGTAACAGAAACGGTAAAAACAACGAAGCTTCCGAGTACTTGGTGAAGTTTGTGAAAATAATTTCATCTGAAAGAATTCTCCCACTCCTCCCCCCTCCCTCCCCGATTTCGACCAGCCCAATCGTTTACTGGGAAAAACTGTTTTACCTTTTCTCTCCATTCTTCCCAGTATTGCCCGATCCCACCAAAAAATCTTAAGGCTGACCAATAACTACGGTAACAAGAGCAGCCGCATACACGCTTGAAATCAAATCGAGACAATTCCGATTGCAGGCTAGAGCACAAGAAATCTTTCATGAAGAAGGCCTACGAGCATGAAAAGGCCCAATTTTCTGAATTCCTGTCTGGGATGAACTTGCCATTTTAGCGCACTAAACGAGTTGCGGTGAACATCACCAGCACTGTGGGACAGGCAACCCTAAGAAATTTACGTTGTTACGAGTAACAACGGAGGGGGGTCGTACCTGGTTGAGTTTGTAGGGGGGGTCGTATCCACTTTAGTCGCTCGCTCCGTTTCAGCGCGCGTATATACTCCGCCTAGAAACGCAGTGTGCGAGTATAGGTAGAAAAGGGTTGAAGTGGTGGAAATAGAGGGAAATTTTCGGAGATATTTACCGTTTCAGAGTGACTATATACCCCCCGCTCGACGGCATTTTTGGAGGAAAAAGTGGGCGGGGTTTTGATGGAAGATGGAGATGGTGGAGGTAGGGAAAAGGGGGTCGTATCAAATCCACCTTGGGGGAGGGGGGTCGTAAAAAATTTTCGAAAAGTAACAACGATAGGACAGACCCTGCTGGGATAACTCCTATAATTTGTGCTATACGAAGTTCCACTAAATAGCTACTTGCCGACTTGTCCTTATCATGTACAGACATTTCCATGATCCCCTGTTATCTGTTACCGTAATTTTATAGCTATCCAGAATTTATTCTTTTCTTCGGAATTCCAACGAAGGAAGTCAGTGAATCAACCAATGGAAATCTCTTCCGAAACTGCGCCGTAAAATAAGCTGTGTTGGATGTTCACTACCGCTAATTTATTCATTGATCGTTAAAGTGTTATGAAAGATCGAATCAATCAATCTAGAACTGCGTCTCCCACCATCGTGGATCTCCTGGCACATAAATGAGCGTCACTACTTTTTTTTCACGGCCCAGTATGGCTGTGTTGGGAGGAGGAAGAGGGTACAGTCCGTGACTTTGGGTCAGGATTGAACGCTCAGTTTCGAGTTTAAGCCTCGGAAGGGACAGAAATTCAGTGTGTAACCATTTTTCGTTCTCCATTCTACACAATTGGCCTAGTACTAGAGATCTTCCTACGACCCAGCACCGTGCCTTTTCTACCAACCCAATACACTCGGAACGATACTCGTTTTGCGGAGAGTTCAAAAAGTGGTCCCAATTGTAAGAGAAGAGGTGACACTTGAAGCTGTGCGTATAGTCCCAGAGATCTCACCTGATGAGCGTTCATATCTATCAAAGCCATAGCTAAATCGGATTTAGTAACCACATCGATTGCTTGCCCATCTGAGTTGATCACCGGAAGTGACGATAAATGATGTCCAAGTAGTTTTTCGACCACGTCGTTCAAACAATCTTCAAGTGAAACCTGAACGGTAAAAAACTTTCGAATCAAAGCGCTCTTCAAAGATCTCCAGATTTTCAAGGCCATAAGTGCGATGGATGAGAGGCGAAACCATTTCGAAAGAGGAGCCCGACAGAGAGGCTCGTCGCGCCGCGAGAAGGCAGAGATGTGTCAGCGGACGATCGCTGCGCATGCTGCAGTAATTCCGGATTTAGTAATCACATCGATTGCTTCACATCGTTAAATAGAATGAAGAATGAACTATAATACATGTCATCTATCACAGCACGCGCTGCGACTCGTCCGCTGACTCTCTGCCTCTCTACCTTCTCGCCGAAGGACCTCCAGACAAATTTCGAACGTGACCAACTACGCCCCGCCTTCGGCTATCGCACTCAGGGCCTCCAACCATAAAAAACAGCTTACCGAATGTATTGTACTCTCCCACGTGCCTACGCCCGATTCCTTGATAGGACTGCTCAACCACTGAGCAAAATGTAACGAACGATTCTAAAAAAAAAACTAAAAATCATCTGCTTATTCGATGGGAAAAATTACGTCAAGTTTACTTTCTCAAGACCGTGTTCATACAATTAGTACCGAGCTGAAGAATCAGGGGGTCCGCCAAAATCACTAAATACAAAACCAATAATTCGCCCCGCCCACTGGACCTTTGGGAGACTGACAGAGTCCACGGAAAGCATTAGATTGTTACTGATTGTGAGTATTCATGACCCTTGTTAAGTGGTTCCAGAAAAGTCAACGGATCTGACTAGGGAGTACTGCGTCAGGGCTTCTAAAGAACCCTTCATTGCGAGGTATAAGAACCTAAGTCCAAGCCTAGGAGGAGAGGGACTCCCTTGCAGCACAATGCGCCGAAATCGTCAGTTCGTAACCACACGCTCGTGAGCTTCGCAATTCTCCCCATTTCTTCAATTCTCCAATTTCTCACTTCGGCAATGACTCGAGCCCAAGACGTTCATAACAAAAAAGAACACAAACCTGTTTATGTATAGCTTGAAGTACCCGTTTTATTGTTAGAAGGTAAAGAATATCTCCTGATTGAGGTTCCCGCACGATAATACGATGTACGCGATGTAGACATAATTGCTCGCATGCTTCGATCACTCTGAAATTTTCCGAAGTTTTTCCTTCTCATGACATTAACGATTTCCTTCGAAGGCGTATTTCACGATAACTTGATGCGTCATTGGAAAGTGAAGTAGAAGTGGCTACTACTGCTGGGGACTAAGAACCCGCAAATTGGACATCATTCTCTCCCCTGATTTCCGCCCTGGATGGGTTCCATCGGCGCTGTCGTCAACCACGTGAACGCTCTGCTCTGCATCTCTGCCAAACTGCCACCTAGAGTTCGCGGCTAGAGTCAGACAGCAAAGGGTTAACCAATCAGTGGGCGTGCAGAGCAGCGTACACCGCTGGTACGGCCCTGGCAGTTCGAAAAGGGTTCCTATCGCTGCGATACGTGCATGTCCTGCGCTCCATAGGCGTCGGCCTCCCTGTCTGGTTAGTTTTGTCCGTTAATTCGGACCCAATTATCGTAGAATCTACCTTACAAGAAACAATTACAAGATGTGAAAAAAAGATAAAAAAATTTCAGTGAAAAAGTTAGGTAAACTAAGCAGAGTTACTCACTTCATATCTGCAAACACAGTGACCAACGAGTTGTCGGTTATGAGGTCGCCTATCTCACCCTGAGTACACTGGGAAGCATCTTCACGTAGATACTTCAGGAAGTCAGTCAAAGTTACGATGGATGTAATCTAAAAATGACTCAATCAGCGAAAACAACAGATATCCTCCATGATCGAAAATCAGAAAAATCGTTTTTGAAAGTAGGCTAAAAAATATAATACGGTTTCGCGAAGGTATCATTTGAAGTAGCAGAAAAATGCCCAAGTGTAATAATAACTTTGTAACCCTTACTCGTCTCTGAGAGGCATCCCACACCAAACCAGCACGCACATTTTGTTCACAGAGAGCCGAGAACGCTCTGTCGACCTGGAAAATGAGTGAAGTCAACGGAAGGGAATGTCAATGTGCCGGCGTTTTGATAAAAGAAATGGTTTCGGTCTGATTTCGAAGCACTAGTTGAGTGATCTTGAACACTGGTACAAGGGAGGGTCCGTCAGGGAAGGACTGCGCTTTTTCAAGCGGTTTTTGTGCATTATTTGGCGGTCAGGGGACGCATGTAGGGAACGCAAAACCATGTTCTGAACGGTTATAGCAGTACCAAAAAAGAAGCATAAGGTACTGTTAAGGGTTCGATCCCCCGTGGCGACTAAATTTTGCATTTGGGTTGGCGCCTACGGTTTGGTGCCAAATCGCGCTAAATATCAAAATCAGATGTCAAATTCATCGTCAGGACCATTTTGAAGCCAACAAGTGGCCGCCAACCTTGATTGCAAAATTTAGTCGCCGCGGGGGATTGAACCATCAAGAGTATTATTCACCACTTTTTTGGTACTACTAAAACCGTTCAGCGAAAACGAAACATGGTTTTGTGGTCCATACATGCGTCCCTACAACATGTACTAAACCGTTTCCAAAAAGCGCACCTTGCCCTGAAAGACCTCCCTTGTTAGGGGGAAGCTAGTTGCTCGAGAATGGGGGCAGAATTGGTTTTCGATTTTGGTAAGCTGGAGAGATGATTCCTGCCGAAATGTACAAATGGGCCCTTAAACATGCGAAGCTTCACAAAAAAAGAGAGAGAAAAAAAGGATCACTTTCAAAAATACCTTGATAGATTTGTCAAGAACTATAACATTTCCGGATTGGGGCGAAAGTTCATAACAGTCTACCACCTATATACTGTCGATACGGATCAGACTGCGACTCTGAAAATATATTGATTACAATGTTTTCTAGAACTTAAAGGCAGGTGCCACGATAAACTGATTGTTGTAGAGAAGTGAAAATGTGTGCTCTGTAGTGCTACACATGGGAGACCGTGCCCCTGAGCGAGCAAGAGGTTGCGCTCCCACAGGGGAGAGCCTGTAGCGGAGCAATAAGGCTTTATCCATCTTTTTTAACAGTTTCGTGCCTCAGCCCTGCAGAGCATTCATACTGATGACGTCAACACCGGTAAGATCGTCCAAAATACCAACGATGGTAGCAATGGTCCCCGTTTGCGGGTTGCCATTTTCCTGCGCTTTCTCTCACTGCTGCACCTCTGAGCAGCAAGCAGCCGTACCGCTATCTAGCCGTAGTGGCTGCGGTCTTTCGAATCAGCTATGCGGAGGTAACACAAGTTTCTTGATGTGATTATTCTGAAGTCTGACAATGTTATGTTACAATATTTATCCACTCCCATTGATGCTGCGACGTTTTTGAGAGTTTTAGGCCGCCTTTACTACGGTTGAAAACTGAAGTTGGAAGAATGAACAAATAAATGATGAGATAAATAAAAGATTTACAAAAGTAAAACGAACTGACAGAGGTACCTCCCCAGCGAGAGACCAAACAAAAAAAACGGTCGACGATAGGGCGTTGATTGTTTTCCGGGAATTAAGAAGTTCCTAAAAATCACTATAATGAAGGAACATTCGAGGTAAATGGAGGAAACCGTCAAGCTTCAACAGTGTTCCAGCAGTCTTGAGGGAAGTATTCAAATAGGATGGGATTGTTTCCCGCCAGCAGCAGCATCATAAACGTGCTGGAGTCTTCTTTTCTGGGCGTTCTCGACGGTATAAGTTGAAAAGGGATCAAAAGTCGGTACCGCCACATAGCTGTGGATATTTAGGGGCGGCTTCTACTAGGCGACTAGCCACTTTGAGGAGAAATCGTGGATCTTTCAGTTTTTCGAGCAGGGAGTGTTCAGGCCTAATGTCGTGCCAGTTTTCCCGTCTTAACGTGCTCTTATGAATGACTCATCTAGCTTTTCATCTCATTTCCATAGGTCGTCCCCGTCTTGCCGCTGCGTTTAAGGGCGGAAATTGCGATTAGAAGGTAGCCCATTAGAATCAAGATTCAAGTGGTCAGTGGTGCCAACAAGAAGATGAAACCATGAGAAACGGCACAGAACCTGAGAAATGAGACCGCTTCCTCTCAGGTTGATTTCCACGCTAATACGATTCTCTCATCGTGCTGCCTGGTCAATGCTAGGCTCCTCTGCTTGACGTGTAGAGTCAGGCCGCGAGAGGTGGGCGGTGCGGGTACTCTTGCTAGGCTGTGGGTACTCTGGGCGCTTGTAAAACGCAAAACCTCGACTTTCTCGTGTAGTTCCTCCTTGAAAAGAAAGGGCCTGCTCTAAGCAGTGCACCCCTACGACGAAGCCGAAACGCTGCTTCCGCAAGGTAAGGGGAGAGTAAGGGGAGAATATTCCAGGGTTTATGGCCTACAGAGGGATTGTATCTGGGCAACTCAGAGCCATACTGCGCGACAGGGAGATATCTGATAAATATCGCTCATTTATGCATTGAAGATTGCGCGTTTCGAAGACGTTCCGGTTCGAGCGGAGTTTCACGCGGATAAATGTGGTGTAATATTTATGGAACACCCTGCATATACTTTACTTACCGAACTGTTACTCCTCGGCCTTCGGAAAGCCCAGTCATCATCGTAGAAATCGGCCGATCCCTCTTCGCCCTCGCGTAGATCGTAGACTGAGGTCAACTGGCAGCCATTGACCTTGAACAGAACACATTTAATGTCACCACACGGCTGCACAAAAGCATGACGACAATTTTCTCATCAGAAATCCAGCAAACATTGCCGCGCTTGTCCCTGTCACTCGCAACGCAAGTCGTCCGCTTCCCGCGCATGACAAAACTACGCGACAAAACCCTTACAATTAGGTAATTGCCGTATTTGCTAGCAGTAAGTTTGGTCAAAGGAGGACGGATGGTGTACGGTGGGAAGAAACGTTACAGGCCTCCAATTTCTTCAAGTACAGGCTTCGGTAAAGGCGGAAAAGATAGCCCATTAGAAATTAAGGTAGAGGTGATCAGTGATGTAGGGATCATTAAAAAAGCAAGAAAAACTGAGCCTAGAATCCGAGAAATGGAACCCCTTTTCACCCGTTGATCCGCAATGGACCGAGTTCAGAGCAGGGTCAACCCTACGTTGGTACAAGTACCAACGGGGGGTCGTACTTGGTTTAGCTTGGAGGGGGGGGGGGGGTCGTACCCACTTTAGTCGCTTGAAATCACGTGTGGGATTGAGGTGAAACCAGAGATTTCGTGATTTCCCCCTAGAGATATTTACCGTTTCAGAGTGACTCCCCCCGCTCGACGGCATTTTTGGAGGAAAAAGTGGGCGGGGTTTGGTGAGTTGAGTGGTATCAGAATTAAGTACTATAGAGACGATGATGGTGGTCGAGGTGTCGAAAAGGGGGTCGTATCAAATCCACCTTGGGGGAGGGGGGTCGTAAAAATTTTTCAGAAAGTAACAACGATAGGACCGACCCTGGCTCGAGTCCCTGCTGTGCGCTTCTGCTATGAAGTCGTAGAAGTCAGGAATATAGAGGCTAGTTGGCGAGGAGTTAGCCAGCCGGTGAGCGGCGTGAGCTGTACAAGTACGGCTTGTGGGGGGGTACTTTTGGTGCGGAACGCCCATCGTACCGCACCCTTAGGAGGGCCGCTTGCCTATCAAGTACGTATATTTCCCCTTACTTAAACCTCCGTCCTTATTGCAGAATAATCTTTCAAAAGGTAATGAGGGTGCTAGTACAACACCAGGGTCTGATAACATAAGGGACATTGAACGAAAAAGGCTAGATGACGGACGGCAGAGATCAGCAGCTACGGGAGCCTGAGGCACGAAGGTGAGCAGGAGGCGTGTGAAGCCTCATTGCGTCCTACGAGTTCACGCCAGCGAAAGCGCTAGGTATTTTTCTTAGGGGCATTTCCCTCATGCAGAACACGTTTTTTCTTCAATTCAAACATTCAGATTATTCGTATCATCTTCCTTTCGGAGCTTGTCTCAAAGGAGCGATTGAAATTCATCAAGACATTTAGTTGATGGCACGGAAACGGAAGGGCATAAATGGAATGGAACGGAAGTCAACAACTTCACAAACAGGAAGTGCTACTTGAAGCAATGGATGATGCGAAAAACACAAAAAAACAACTCCAACCTCCATTATTAAAAAATAATGGGTGAAAAATTGAAGGCAAAAAGGTCCTGTTTCAGATAAATCAATATGAAGACTAAAATTCGAAATATCCGAAAAGAACAACAATCGATCACTCTGAAAACCAAGATAGGAGTAGCGTTTGACGTAAAAAAGGGCGGGGGGGGGGGGTTCGCCTGTGGGAAGAGGGAGGGCTTGTCTTTCTGAAGTGATAGCCTAAGTCATCATATGTGTGAGATGACTTCGTGCCATAGTTTTCTATCCCTCTTAGTATCTCAGTCGAAGGGCTCGGTATAGGCTCGCGCTCGCTGACGCACTCGTGCGTCCGAGTTTTTCCTACAGGAAAAACATGCGGTCGAGTCTTCTCACAGGTCCCGCACCCATGGGAAGTGCGACTCGTATCAGGCAGTCCCACTCACATGTTCAAGGCGGTTTCTGCGATTTGAGGCGAGAACAACGGATCCGATGATTTTGAAAAGCATTCCAGATATTTGCTCTGCCTTACCTGAACTTTCTTGAGTTTGGTCGATTTCCGTAGTAATTGTCCACTGAGGCTTTCTGATCGTTGCCGACCCATCAAACCACGCAGACCTGAAAAGGGAAGATGAGACGAGTAAAGAGGTCAATCTGATATCTGACGAATTCCTAGTGGGGCCGCTCAATTTTTGCCACAACGCTTACTGAGCTGTAGAAAAGCCATCCGTCCCTTTCAATCAATTTTAAGAGTTCTATCAATTTAGAAGTTCGTTGTCCTCCTACCACCACCATCCGCACCTTCATAGTTTGCGATTCGACTTCGTTTGCGGCTATGGAAACTAGTACCACTTGACGCACTCCTACTTTCAAAAGTCCGTCAGGGGGAGGGGGTGGATGGTGGGGTTGGAAGGGGACAGCTATTCAGTCGCCAAAAGCGCCGAGCAATTCATCAGGCAAAAGTTCTAAACTTGCCAAATACGACCCCCGCCCAAATCGGCTCAAAATTGTCCAAATTACAATATGACCGTTTCTCCTGTTTAACTTGACCAGAAATACTGCTGACAATTTTGGACGATGTCAGACTTTGCGAATCGAGCGATTCGCTAGCGTCTGCGGTCGCGTCGCGGCCAGTGAATCACTTGATTGGCTGGTACCGCGACGCGACCGCGGACGCTAGCGAATCGCGCGATTCGCAAAGTCTGACATCGGCCTTGAGAGAAAGAGCTGGAGTCTTTCTATTTGTCGATCTCTCACAGTATGATTATTGAACAATATAGGCAAAAGACAACCAGGTGCAATTGTCACATAAGGGCGATTCCAGAATTCCTTCTCCCTTCACTAGACCATCTGCAATCCTTCCCTCGGGGAAGGGGGTGGAGGAGGGGCAGGATGACGAAAACCACTTGAAATTTTCTATGGAAGGGAGTCCCCCACGCGACCTCCTCCCTTCCTCTATAGCAGTCGATGGCGCCACATCAGCGTCAAATCTGCCATCACTTATGGTTAGGGCACTTTGAAGCAATCCAGTTATGTCCCTAAATTCCTGCAGGCTCCGTCGAACGTGAGGAATGAGGTATACACAGCTCAGAAACGTCACATTTTACACAAGCCCATTCACTTCAGCACACACCTGTGAAAATTGTGAAAAAATGGAACCAGTTTGACCCGATCTCCCCCTCACATCTTCGAAAATAGGACTCCTTCGACTCCCCACAAAAACTCCTCTAAAAATTCTGCATAAGGCTTTTCACTTGAATTTTGCAAATACGAGTTGTTGGATCTACATACTCAATGAGCATGTTTCCTGTGCCGGAGCTGGTAGTAGTTTTGGAACATACCGCTTAAAATACTGGGTGGCCTTTGGACGCTGCCTGACGCGAAACGTCGTCGTGATACGGGAGGTCGTCCAGGTGCTGAAAATGAGGAAACATTAGAACACTTTTGAATGGTTCCATTTCAGAAAGCCATATGCGAACGAATTGGGTTCATTTGAGCCAGTCCTTCATTTCTCGTTCAAATCTGGAGCGCTAAAACATAGCACGGCAGGTTTTCACAACATGCTTTCGTACGGGGGAACGGAGCAAAAAAGTCCTTCTGACTATGGCGCACATCAGCAACTTTTCCTCGTACAGGAGGCCGCGTTGATGGAAATTTGAGGCAAAACAATAATCAGACGCCCCTCCCCCATAAGCAGAAGCGGTCATTTCTTCAGAGCCCTCACCGTACCCAGAATATAACGTCCTCTGTCATCGAGCCCAACGAGTCCTAGGTAACTGATGCAGCCTAAAGCTGCTACGTGATTCTTAAACCGTTTTCTAGTAGATAGCTTCCCACAGACAGTAGTTCTGGATGTGCAATACCCCTTCCGATCAGCACTTCACATAAGATCTGGTCCACGACGCGTAGAGGCCCTCACTAAATTCGATCCATGCACATTTCCCATAGAAAACCTCTTCTGAAGTCGTCCTTACTTAATGTTATTGTGTTGCGCTTTGTCGGATAAATTGGAATGTGCTCTCCAATTCAATCTTCAAAAGCGAACATGGTGTATTGACTGTTGACGCTGCTTTGCGTATGACGCTAGCATGTACCAATCGAATCTCGTCCAAGAAGGATTCCATGAAGGATGGTCGAAAGAGGGAAATTTACCCAGTGGAGAGACAGGCGGACGCACTCCCTTCTCTGAAAAATCGCGCTGTCTGGAGTCTAGAATCGCAGAGTATGGCTGGACTTATGACCAACCCTGTCTCCCCCACCCAGTGGATAGGATCAGCGGGGACGCGTCCTTCTGTGGGAAAGATAGGATACGGCCCTTGGGGCCGTATGCAGCAGTAGCCAGTTACTGGTGGTTCCCACAACTCTGCGTCTCTATTGCGGTAGTCGGGCTGACGCAACCCCTATGGTAAAGAATAGGGAGATGCGTCCGGAGATGCAAAGTTTGGGGGACCCATTCCCGGCCGGGAGTGGCCCGTAGAGGAGCCTTAATCGTGCAGCGCTTTGAGCAACTTTCAAAAGGACAGCGGGCGAAATGGTCGGCGCTGATCAATCCAAACCCAATTTTATGTGGTTCCTCCCGACCATAAGGACCGCGCATGATGACGATTGAGCCTGAATTAATTTTCCTAGTTTTTTACTACTTAGCTAGATCAAATTACCTATGAAACTCCTAAGAGATTATGATAATAACGAAAATTCAGGACGAAAAAAGGGTTATGGAAAAGAGAACTTATGCGCGCTGAACTGGTAGCCTAAATTGAAGTTCCTGGCAGTTGTCAAAATAGCGCATCCTTGGAGAGAACGTGTAATCCAAAGAGCGGTCATGCGCCACGGCGCCTTGACCCACTATGCTACACGTGCTGAACCGCGATTTATTAGCTATCGTTAGGTCGAGATGAACATGGAGAGAATCCTCGCACAAACTCAGAATCAGGGTGAATAACCGGCAGAGAGCCATGGTCGAGGAATTCCTCGACCATGGCTCTCTACCGTGCGAGAGTAGTGCCGAGAGTGAATGTACGCGCGGAGAGCACAGACGGCTCGGCATGGCGAGTGTGAATGTCCGCGCGGGAGAGCGTAACTGATCAGGCGAAAATCCTCGACAAGCCGTTGAGGAATCCTCGACCGATATTCACCCTACCCAGAATTACTGTACAAATCAAAACTTCTTCTCGATCATAAGGACAAAACCGAGAAAGGACACATAAAGGTGGTAGTAGACTGCCTCGACGGATGACACAGCTTTAAAGGCCCATGTGCAGATATTGATTTTACGCGCCTGCCAACGGTAATCGCTTACAGATGCATGCTCCGTGTGCAACATTCCATAGTAACTCAGGATCAGTTTGGCGGTCAAAACATCCGAAATAAGGAAATGGAAGCAAACTCAGGGGAGTCCGACCCGTAGCTAGTAGTAAACAAACAAAATAAATACATAAATATTAATTAAACATGAGAAAACTTTGGGTTTTTTCAAGTTTTTCAAACCGTAACCAGTATAACCTACTCAATTCATTGCTGGGCTCGTGATCGTAGATATTCGCACATGCTGGGGAGCCGTTCGTCTGCCGAGGAGCTACACGGTGCGTAAGTTGGCTCATTACTGAAACAACGAAGAAATGAGAGGATGTCATGAGGAAAATGCCGGGGTGTCCTCCTCGGGTCCCAATCGGGACTGAAGGATGCTACTTGACCACTTCGCTCCCACCCTGATTGACAAGCAGTTGAGTGGCCGAGAAGCATCTTTCTTGCGCCGACGAGAGACCAGAACTTCAGGAATGGAGAACGATCGACGCGAAAATCGACACGAACACGAAGAAAGTGACGAAAACGAAACCAGATGGAATAAATGGAGAAACAGCGGCTACGTGATGGCTTGATGGAGTCGTGAGACGTCGGAAACGGTGAGATGATGGACGTGCATAATTTCATGCATTAAGAAATTATCAGATGCTCCATCATTGCCGTCACGTGCTTCATGTGGAATCACCACCAAGCCCAACACCGAGTGACGGCAAGCGAAAAATGCCGTATGGGTGCTATCACAAATACCACGAAAAATATCCTTTTTTGGCGCTCATGTCCTTAAACGGGGACATTCAAAAGAGAGCATTTAAAACTGCTGGCAGGTGACACTAGGACCAAGCCTGGTATTGGGAGTAGCACCAGGAAGAACAATGGTTGCTCACATTCTCTCCCGAAATCCTTTCCTCCTTAGGGCTTAGTCCCAAGGTTTACGAGTGGCCCACTCATTTCAGTGTCCCCCCCCCTTCTGGTGTTAAAAATATGATAAGCAAGTGAGGGAGGGACTGGGTCAGGATACGTGAGCACTTTCATTCTCACCAGAGTTCCTGCTCCTGCTAGGTCTTGTCTTGAAGGATGCCCCCGTATCTTGCGATAGCTCGTCCGAGTTTTGGAAGGGTGGCATGCCAGACTTGAAGGAGCCTAAACACGCTAATGATAACGATTATCTGAATACAGCGAGCTAATAGTAGAGATTTCAGGCAAGGACATCTGGAGGAATGAGCAAAAACTGTGACAACAACAAGTGATTTTCGCGGTTATTACCTGGTTGACCTCGTCATAACCAGTATTTGCCCGCGAATACACGTGACAAGAACGACTAGACAATTCGACAGACAGAGGAGCTCACCAAGAGTTTGCGCCTTATGCGCCATGTACACACATTCCAGCACAAACTGCCGGACATATTTTGAAGCATGTCAGTTTCGGTTAAACAAACATGTTAACAGTTTAGCGTGAGCCAGCTACTTTTCAGAAAGCGGCGCAATGCTGCCAACCGACAGGTGGGTGGGGCGGGGGGCGAACTGCAGGAATGCCACTAGGACTAAGCCGTAACGGAGAGGGACAAATTCCCGGAGAGAATGCGAACTGCTTACGCACCCCGGATTCCCTCTTCTTCTCTGAGGCTTAGTCCTAAACCTGAGCGTTGCCGTAGATTTGAGACAATGTTATGTTCTCCCCCCCCGCCCCCGCCGGCGCCACATTGCGCCGAAAAGTACTCACAGCATGTGGGGTAAAAAAGAATCGAGGAAAGAACAGGAAGGTGCAGATGATCCAACCTGACAGCACAAACCTGCCCGG